TAACTACTGAACCAAACCAGCCAGGAGCCAGGGCTGCCACATCACTTTTTTATGGTTCTTGAACCTTAAAGATGTTTCAAGTTGGTCTCTATGATTTAAACATAATGAATATGGTTTGGTTATTTGATAGTCTGTCTAACAATCCTAATAACTGAGATCTTTGTGGGTTTGTTTCTGTTGTCTGTTAATTCTGGTAATTTTTTAATGCCATCATGTTTCCATGTCTGTCTGGCTATATTTAATAATGTGTGATAATTACACTTAAAATATTTATAACAATAGGAGGTTTAGAATTTAGGTATATCCCTTCAGAAAAATTTTAAATCTATATCTTCCAGGCACTTGGGGTACTCCAGTCTGGAATCACCTCAACTCAACATCCAAACTTGATGGTCTCTGAATCACCAGCTGACTCGAGTCTTTCCAATGACCAGATTGCTTCTGGCTCACCCTTCTCCTGATAGTTTAGTCCTTGGGGATATGAGTTTTCTGGGTGTGAGGTCTCATACTACATTTTTGACATGGTGTGGCTCTGTGCTTTGACAACTATGCTCACCCTAGAAAACAGTAAAGGTTCTGATTTCCTAAGACTGGAAAATTCCATCAGGCAAAAATAGCTGCCAGGTCTACCAATCTCAATGTCCACTTTCTGCTTCGGCTTGGTAATTCCCTACTAAACTGGCAGCTTTCCTTTGTTTTGAAGATTTGTCTTTAATTTTTTCTAGTCCATGTTTACTTGTTTTCATTGGAAGAGTTTGCTCAAATAATGCAGCCTGAAAACATAGACGCTGTATTTTTCTTCTCGCTCCTTCTGGGGTTTTATCTCGCTCATTTTTCTCCCGGGAGGTCTGCTGCCTTTCACATGGTCCTGAACCTCTCCACTGGTTCTCGTCACGGCAGCTTGGGTCTGTGGATTAGCAGTTTGTTTGATAGCTTCATAGTTATGCCACACTCGTGGATATCTTCTGTAAGTCCCAGGCAATCTGGAAAACAAGGCTATCTCTGTTTGTAACCAGGGGGATATAAATCCCTTGAGACCAAATGCCCAATATTTAGCCTTTTGTAATGTGACAAACACAGACATGATCACAGCACTTTATAAACCAGTAAGCTGAGAAGATTCTGCCCAGTATCATGAAACAATGAGCTTCTAAAACACGTTTTGTGTGTGTGTGTGTGTGTGTGTGTGTGTGTGTGTTTGAGAGAGAGAGAGAGAGAGAGAGAGAGAGAGAGAGAGTAGTAAAGAATGTGGTTTTGCCCAGAGAGCAAATTAGCTTTTTCCCTTAGCTTCTGGGAAGAAATCTTTGTCATACCTGACAGAAAGTCCTTGTTAGGGTGGGAGCTGGTCACCCCAGAAAGACCCATCATGTGATTACGGGTGGGGACTTTGAGTCACACAGTGCCCCTGGACTTAATCTGAGTTCATCTACATTGGCCATCAGTCAATCAAGCATGACAATGCAATGAAGCCCAAATAAACGGTCTGGACACTGAAGCTCAGGTGTGCTTCCCTGGTTAGCACCACCCTGTGTACATTGTCACAGGCCCACAGCAGGAGGGTAACCGGTCCTCTCTCCCAGGCGGGGAGACAAGGGACATTCATGTTTGGAACCCCTCAGACACTGCCCTGTGTGCCTCTTCCTTTGGTTGATATTAACCTGTATCCTCTCTGTAATAAACTATAACTGTGAGAAAAATAAGTTTCAGTGGGTCCTTGTAGCAAATTATTGAAACTGAGAGTGGTTTGGGGAAACCTTTGAACTTGCATTTGATGCCCTTAACCTTTTCAATTTGGCAGACTATATATATATATATATATATATATATATATATATATATATATCCAGTGTATTTCAGGCCTGATGCATGAAATTCATGCAAGAGTAGACCTTCCTTCCCCCAGCTGTCAGCACCGGCTTCCCTCTGGCACCTGGGATCTGGGCTTCCTTCGCAGCCCTGGCTTCATCTGGAAGGTCATTCAGAAGGACTTCTGGTCTAATTAGCATATTATGCTTTTATTATTATCTGGTCTAATTAGCATATTTTGCTTTTATTATTATAGATATATATGTGTGTGTGTGTGTGTGTGTGTGTGTGTGTGTGTGTGTGATGCAATACTGGAATGAGGTTCTTATAATAAGGACAGCCTGACTCAGGCTATAACATATGAGCAAGATTAGATACTTTTCTCTTTGTGTCTTAATAGTCAACCTGCTGTGAGACCCTTTCCACTGGCCTTTTAGTCCCAAACCAACTCTGACTCCGTGGGGAGTGTCACTTTCATCCCAGTGCGCTGTGCACCCACCTACAGTTCCTGTAAGTCCCTGTTTACTTTGCCTCCAACTCTGGTTAAAGAAAGAAAGGGAACCCACAGAAGTGTTTTTCCCCGCTAAGATGTGGACCCTCATAAATCATAGTGACAAGAAAGGCGATGACGGTCTCGTTCTGTTCTTGAGATTGGACCAGGAGAGGCGCGCAGGGTCCAGCACGCTTTTGTAATTTGTCCCAGTGGTGGCGCAGCGCAAAGGAATCCCACAGCAGGCCAGCTCCTCGGCCCTAACTGAGTAATTCTCTACTTGAATGTTCCTGCAGTGAAAACGCAGAGACATCCACCAGTGTCACTCGGCCCGTTTAGTACCTGCTGCGGAACTCCTGGCAGTTAACAATGAAATTGTCCAGATTTCCTTTTTGTTCCCTTCCAAGCAGGCAGGGCACCATTTTTTAGACCTCGGTTTAGCACATGAATCAATCCTTTTGTATTTGATCAGTGGGACTGCGCATGTTTTCAGAAACTGTCTGGCTTTGTACCTAGCAGGCGTGCTTGTTGGGCAGTAGTTCTGCAAATGAGAGAAAGAAATATGCAGATCCTCACATGTCGGCAGATGGGATTACAAGGTAGTGAAAAGAGGTGGTTGTTTTCTGGCCTGATATTTGCCTTTGGTTGTTTGAATTCTTAGGGATATATCATCCAGAACTTGTCAGGGTTTTTTTGTTTTGTTTTTTTAATTATTTTTAAAAAGGGGTATTTTGCAGTTTGTGGTGACGGAGAGGGGAGGAGACTCACATGGCAACATGGACAAGGAGGAGAAGAGGGAATATCGAGTAAATGCATATTCCTGCAAAGCTGGATGTGCTTGCATGTTATATATTTCTTCTTCCAACAATACTTCATAAGAGCCAGTCCAGCTTGGCTTCATTTCTGCCCCAAGGCCATTCATAAGTAAAGCACTTTTTATGCCTCCACGCACAAAGGTACAGAGGGGTTATGCATCAATGAACCTGACAGGAACCTTTTGTCTCTGGAATATCCACAGTAAAACAATAAAATTATGAGAAGATTTGGAAACCATCACAGATGTAGTTGTATATGGATGTAATGCTTACAAGAGACCTGGAAAATACAGATTTACACCAAAGGAAAAATTTAAGGGTGGGTCTTGCTTTTCTGAAGCTAGAGGAGTCTCTTTGGTTGAAAGCAGTCCCCAGTGCAATGAAAATTTGACTTGTTACATGAATGTCCATTTTCACCCAACTTATTATAGGATATGTCTATCTTATAAAGTAAACTTCCCTTTTAAGTTTAGTTTCTGAATTGAGAAGTGGATAAGAGTGCACCCTATAGATATGGTTCATTATTTTCATTTACAAAAATGCTCAAAGGAAAGATCTACACAACTTCCAAGTTTGCCAAACTTAAAATACTAATAAAAATGAGCTCAGTTCTGTGACTAAAGTGATGGACCCAGTGTAAAACTGCTTAGAGAATTCTCTACATGTTGGCATCTTACTATGGAATCCATAGGTGGGCTTTGGGGCATCCACGAATCAAATTACATAGAATGCTGTGTTTGTGCACATGTATATTGGCGGGGGGTTCATTGCTTTGGCTCTTAGAGGGCTTAAGCACCACTCTGAGTTTAGATGTGGGACAAAGGAGATGGCATAGCATTTTTGTGCCTACTCAGTCTAGGCAACAGGCACAGGCACAGCCAGCGTTGTGTGCTGACCTCTTTCATTTTTGGAGGTTCTATTTCTAGAATTATAAGACATCTCTCCATTTGATCACAAGGTAAGTGATGGCTTCCTTACTCATGTTGTTATGGCCTCTTTCCTTTAATTGTTGGCTTTCTGGATTATCTGGAAGCTGTACTTAGATGCTGGGCAGGGCCTTTACTGAATGTCATTCTAGGCACCAGGAAGAAACTCAGTTGTGTGTGTGTTTCTTTGTGTCTAAAAAGTAGTAAACATTGAAGAGATGTGTATTGAGTAAAGGAATTCTATATAATAAAAGGGTAATATGCAAATTGACCCCAACAGCACAACGACCAGAAATGACCGGTCACTATGACACACACTGACCACCAGGGGGCAGATGCTCAATGCAGATGCTGCCCCCCGTGGTCAGTGTGCTTCCACAGGGGGAGTGCCACTCAGGCAGAAGCCAGCTCATGGCTGGCCAGCACAGTGGCGGTGGCGGAAGCCTCTCCCTCCACCATGGAAGCACTAAGGATATCTGACTAACGGCCCAAGGGGTGGGCCTAAACTGTTAGTCGGACATCCGCCAATGGCTCCAGGGTTGCCAGAGGGATGTCTGACTGCCAGCTTAGGCTCAGTCCCCTGGGAGCAGGCCTAAGCCGTCAGTTGGACATCCCCCGAGAGGTCCCAGACTGTGAGAGAGCGCAGGCTGGGCTGAGGTGACCCCCCCCCCGCCCGAGTGCATGAATTTTCATGTACCGAGCCTCTAGTGAATAAATAAAACAAGTATCTAAATGAATAAATAATCCACTAATAATAACAATATGTAACTTCACTTCTTCAATGAAGTCCCTGCTCCGTTAAACCAGTAAATCAGAAAAGGGGATTGAGAGGCTGTTTCTATTCCCTTTTTGACCTCCTGCACAAGGAAGATGCCCACACTGGTCCTCAGTGATTTTTGTCTGCATTCTCATCAAACCTTCCTAGAAATGGTAATAGTTCCCTCCTTTTCTTTTGAATTTCAGCTATCCAGCTTGATAAAGTCAACCTTCAATTGTATTGCGCTTGGTCTCTTCTGGACAACTTTGAGTGGAACCAGGGTTACAGCATGCGGTTTGGTTTCTTCCACGTTGATTTTGAAGACCCAGCTAGACCCAGAGTCCCTTACACGTCAGCCAAGGAGTATGCCAAGGTCATTAGAAACAATGGCTTAGAGGGACATCTATAGAAGAGATGGCTGGATGGTATCACCCGGAGAAGAGGCCTCGGTGATTGCAAAGGAATCTGCTTTGAGGATCCCTCAGACAATCTCATATTGCCTTTGTAATCCACAGGTCCTCTTTCCTCTCTGTGCATTTGGATCAATGGGGCTTTTAGAAAAAGAGAATAGAAAACACTGAAATTTTTATATTAAGAAATCAGAAAGACTTAGAAACTTCTATGTAAATTCTTTAAATTTTTATAGAAAAAATAATGCAATATTTATTACTGATTTGCAACTCTAATAGCTGACCACTTATAAAAATACTTGTTCTATTTTTTTGGTTACATAATCTATGGTTTTCTATTAGGTCTATATTGTTCCTACTGTTTAATCTAGTGTAAGAAAATCAAAATTAAAAGGTAGTCACATCATATAGTTATGTATTCTACTCACCAAAGGGATTAATTGATAACCTATTTAATAAAATGGATGTGTTGATATATTTGGCATATATTTTATCTATATAAGAACAAGTACATCTTTCTCTTGCCTGATGAACTTTTGAAAAATAATAAATCAATCAAACAAATTAGACTATGAGTGCCAGAAACAGTATTTGAGTGTTGATATTTAGCAGAAACTGGATTCCTACTCCAGGGTGACACCAATTGATGACACCTGTGAACGCATACATGAGCTGATTGACCACGAGTATAAGCAGAGGAGGGAATGAGTCACCACATTGGTAGTTGAAATGTCAGATATGTATGGGCTTGAGTGGAGTTGGGCCCTTTACTGAGCTTTTTTGGTTATAGATGTAGGTTCCCTCTGGACTCCATGTTTCCAGCCCAGCAAACTCCTCACATAGGTGGAATTTGGACATTCCCATCCTTATTTAAGTAGTATTTACCAAACATTCATTTGGATATCTGGCTCAAAACTAAGAGGTAAGTATTACCCGATTCTGCAGAATGAGAAACTGAGACTGCACTAATGTGCATCGTCCTGAAGTCACATAAGTGCATGCTTACTGGACCCAGCACTTCTTTGGCTTCAGCTCTATGCTCTTTCCAGCACACCATGGATGGCAGTACCTTGGAAGTCTTCTCTGCAATTTTTGAACAGAGAAAAAAGAAGCAGAGGTGTGGAGATGCCTTTTGCAGGAGGAGGTGGGTAAGCCAGCTTTCAGTATTCTCAGTCTGCTTGCTTGCTTGGTTTTCATAAGGCTTTTGGACTCAGCAGACACTATGTCATTTTTTTAAAAAAACTGTGGTCAATTTCTGGATCATTTTCATGTTCATAACTGGGGTATTATTTACAGCAAAGAACACTCTCTCAGTAGCTTTGGACAGAGTAAGAAAGAAATGGTCGTAGTAGTTCAATAAACGTGGATGCACTGGGGAAAATTATATGAAGATTAAAATGGTGTCCATAGGAAATTCTATTACATCTTTGCCACTGGTTTGTTATTTTTATTGTTCCATGAGACATTATCTCACAATTTGTGTTCATTTAAAAAGCACATTTCCAAATCTTATTTCATTCTTTTCCTATCCAGCCTGTCTTGTTCATTTTCAACATGCATCTTATTTACAATTTATGTGCCTTCTTATATTATCTTGCAAGACAACCAAGTTTTCCTTTTAATTAGGATATTGCTTTGAGTATTACTCATCCTACAGGGCACATTTACAAGTTTTGCAACAATATAAATGAAGACTGTATTTTGGTTACCAAAACCAATAATGTCATATTCGTGCTGTAAATACAGGACCTGTCACACTGGGTCCACCAGGTGAAACAAACACCATAGCTGTAGCTCCCAGGCTTCCTCACAGGGCAGGGCCTTCTGCAGCTCTGGGCTGGGTGTTCAAGGCTAGTGTTTCACCCAGAGGTGGATCAAACTTCCCTCATTAGTCCTGTAACTTAGAATTGCCACAAGGTTAAACTGAAGGGGAAAAAAATCCACCAGCCCCAAACCTAAGGGCCCCTATAGTATTTTAATTAATGTTACTTTTAATTGCTTGTATTAACATTTGAAAACGAGATTGATTGGCTTTTGCCTGTCAGGGTAACAGAACTTGGATTCTTTAAATGTAAAAACAGTTGTTAATTATACTTAAAAATCCATAGATACTGCACTTAGATGTCTTGAAGGTCATCCGAGGCTTGTAAAACACATGTTTTATGTCTGTTTTATCTAAGGAGAAACTTGGGTATCACAGTGATGGATTGGAGCTCCTTGTATTTCTTTCTCTCTACCTTCCTTGTTTTTTGTTTGTTTGTTTGTTTTTCTAAGGGAACATGAACATAGGTTATTAACATCCTGGGGATCATTTTTAAATAATTTGTAATTGCTTTTATTTGGGGGCAAGTTACTTCTAAATTGCTAAAAATATGCAGAAGATAACAGCCCATTTTCATTAAGATGTGTAGGGCTTTAGTTTTATATTTCCTACAAACAGCACTGGAAAATGTCCACCTAAACCCTTTATTGAGTGAGAAGGCATGAGTTCTCATTAAGAAACCCATAAACTAAGAAGCTGGCAACCTTGGTATTTGGCAATGGAGTGCCAGTCAGGCTTTTGTGCTCAGGGAATTTGTGTTCGGTCTGTAGCTTTTAATTATTTTTATGAACGAGGGAATAATGAATACATTTGTAATATATTGAAAAAATTCCCCAACACTGACTGACCAAAAAGTAGATTTACATGATAATCCTTAAACACTAATTCTATTGCTCAGTGCTGAGCAGAAAGAAACTAAAATACTGAGCTTCATTACTGAGAGAGCAGAATAAATCAAAGCTGATAGAATTAATACTGTTTAATTACTAGCAATACACCTTACCCAGAGAACGCATATTCATCGCCGATCACAGTATTTTAGGCTACAGTTGTCCTGGGAGGGATATAGCACTGAGCACAAAGCATGATGTGCCTTAAAGAATGAAATTAGAAGACATTTGAACATAAAGACACTTTATGGTGGCCTTTAGAATTACACAGCATGAAGGAGAATCAACCTTCTTAATTGTGGCAGTAGGGAAGACAGGAAGAAGTATAGAAGCTCTGGGTTAGGGTGACTGGGTGAAACAATTCCCAATGGTGACAGTTAATGAGTATTGCTTGTAGAGAGTAGACAGGGCCTATGGTCTCAGGTTTTCTTAGTATTTACAGTGTCACCTGACCCATGACTGGGTAATGTGACCTTGCCTGAGTGGCTACTGGTAGCCAGTATAAGGCAAATATAGTGTAATCATTATGAATGTAGGCTCTGGAGTTCACCTAGAGTTAAATCTTGGCCCTGACATTTAATAGTCAAATGCCATTTAAACAATTTATTGAACTTCTCTGTGCCTCAGTTTTCCTCTCTGTAAAATGGGCTCCTTGTAAGGCTGTTGTGTGCTGATCATTGTAACATGCTTAGAACAGTTCCTGGAACATGACAAGGGCATGACAAGTGTGAGTCATTAGTTGTAATTCTCAAAATTGTCCACAATTCATCAATTATAGCTCAGCTTTTTCCTCCTCTTGTACCACCTCCATTTCTGCTGAGGTGTTTGCTAAGTTGTAATTCATTGTCTCTCTAATTTTCTGTCTCTCTAATTTTTGTGGCAGCCATATTCCCTGTGACCTCAATTCTCTGACGGATCTAAGAAGAGTTGTTAATTTTCAATTTGTTTAGCTCTTTGGTGTTAGGAAGGGAGCAATGAATTCCAAGTTCCTCACATATTGGACTGTAAATGGGAAGTCACCATTATTTTTATCATCTTTGGAATTGAACATTTTCAGTACATATTTATTAAGCCAAACTGTACAATACATTGTACAGATGCAACCCTGCAGACAGGACAGTTCTTCTCCAAAGAAGTGCAGGTCTGGTTGGGGAACTAGGATAGAGACACGAGATAAGCACTGTCAGGTGAATTTTCCGATAATTAGAAGAAGGAGAGCTCTCTGATAGCTTGGGTGAGCAGGTAAGGCTTCATGGACAAGGGAAGATCATATACTATAAAAATAATACAAATAACACTCTGATCATATAAATATAAGTAAAATTATGGAGGTGGAAAGCAAAAGGCCTGCCGGAGGTGAGGGGCAGTACCCAGGCCAGTTCACCTTAGAGAAGAGAGTGGGACTAGAATATGGAGATTCTCTGATGTTCTTCAAAGATGTTTTGGTGCCATCTTAGCACAAAGTTGAAGATTTCTGAGCAGCATGGCCATGTTTAAATGCAACATGTTGAAAGATGGCAAAGAAATAGGGGGTAAGAACCAGATCGAAAGCTGCTTGTAACAGAATACATATAGTTGATGTGGTAATTCCCTATTTAAGGTAGAATTGCATGTATGAAAAGTTCATGTGTAATTAATGTATCAAAGTGTGTGTGTGTGCGCACGCGTGCACACACACACACACACACACACACACACACACAAGTACACAGGAACCTAAATGCAACCTGGTCTCTTGGGCAACCTGGATGAATAATGAAAAGGACATGAGTGGGAACTACAAATAGTCTTTAGTTTAATTAATCGTGCTTTATAAATGTTAACTTCTTTGCTTTGATAAATATACAATGGCTATGTAAGATGTTTTAGGGGAAGTTAGGTGAAGAGTATATGAAATGCTTCATTTTCTCTTTGCAACTCTTTTGTAAATCTAAAATTATCCCCTACCCAAAGTTTTAAAAATGTACATGGGAAGAATTAGTACTCTATTCAGAGAATGTATTAGATCAATACATATATTATAATATACATATACAGAGATAAGAGATAAGAAAGACATAACCACTATTAATATTCTGTTATTTCCGTTTTTTTCTCTCTCTCTGGGTAGTGGTATTATAGCTAATTTATTATTTTTACTTTTATTCCCAAGTTATCCTTATTTCTGTTTTCTTTTCTTATTAGAATATATTGTCAAAGACAAACTTCAGCAGTCCCTGTGATTCCCTTGTCTGTTGGAGAAATGGAAGTAGATAGGTCAACAATGGCTTTGTATATGGGAATAATGGTACTATTGATAGAAATTGCAAGTATACACATTACTTCATCTAGGTGATACTTTAAACACGTCATGGTAACACATGTTACTTAAAAATTAATTGCTACCTCTAGC